CAGTATTTAGAAGACCTTGTGTGGCCCCCGCAGGGATCAAATCTGCATGCAGAACATGAGCTCCAGCCATTGGCTTATCTCCCTGGGCTTCACATAATTAGGTTCTCAAATTCAAAATTTCTTTCAGCACTCCCATGCTTACTCTGTTCTAGCATTTCTAAGACTATCTGCCAACTTTTATTACTTGGGTTCTTCATATGAATCATCAAATTTATAGAATGATTTCAGTGACAATTTCTAATGGTCACCAAGAATAGCACAGTAATAGAAATTTAACTTGCTTGGTTTGGTTTTCGGACCACATCTGGCAGTGCTCAGGGCTTACTCCTGATTCTGTGCTCAGGGATGACTCCTGGAAGGGCTCAGGGGACCAAATGGGGAGCCAGGGATCAAATCTAGATTGGTCACATGCAAGGCAAGTGCCCTATCCACTGCACTATCTCTTCATCTTTTAATAGCACTTTTCTAACTGCACAAATGAGAAGTTTAAATTGATATTCAAGTGGATGTCTTAGGGCATTAAGACATTCTCTGCCTGGTTGATAAAGGTTGCTAGGCTAACTATCATTATGAATGTTCTTACTATGATGCTTTTATGTGATTTTAAAATAATAGTGGTCCTATATATTAAACTTTACTATATAGCTATATACAAGCACCAAACACTATCTGATACCTACAAGTAGAGTTCATAAATTATAACCACTTGAAAGAAAAACCACAAAGGAAATAGTTAGGCAACACCCAAACCATTTTTTAAAAATATCTCCATAATTTCTCCACAAAATGTACAATTACTTCAAGATAGTAGCTCCTTGCATGTTTGGAAAATTTAAATAAAAATTTAAAATAGGTGACTTTGGGACACAAATAATTATCTGTTCCATGTGGGAATCAACAAGATTTTTCAAAATCAGCATTTGGTCCAAATCTTGTTTTTATGAACAATGGTTACCTATGATTTAGTATTTTAAGCTTATTATTTTATTTCATTAATGCACATTCTTCCCATTTCATACCTCTAATCTCTAATTATGACCGCCACTTGTCACATGAAACTTGTACTTTAATTTGCTTGTAAGAGTTGTGCTATATTTTCAATCTAATAATAAACAAATATATTTTTGAAAGTCTTTGTCAAGTTTATTATTTGAAAAAGGTCATTTGTTTCCATGGCTTTTCTTTGTACTTACACATTATTATGGCCAAAAAACACAATGTATCACAAGATATAAATCTGTGAGTTTCAGAAAAATTATTTTAAAAAAATCTAGCAAAGTCTCAGAAATACCACACCAGTAACAAAACTAATTTCTGCATCCTGTTTACAGATTCTTCCCATTGTGCTTAGTTACCTCTTTCAGTTGAGTTGAAAAAAAAAATCAAGCTACAAATCTATGTAAATGGCATCACTTTTAAATCACAGTGTGAATTAAACTAATTGTTCACATTTCAGCACGGTAATTCATGAATTCACTTTCCATTCCATTTCAATTTACTAATGGAGAGAAAAAAGGGCTAAATACTCTGGAAGCTCTAATAAAGAGTATGATTTCAGGAGATAAAAATTTATATAATCACTGTTACACTGTTATACTCAATCACAGCACAGTCCAGTTTTACCCAGACATTTATATCACCCTTTCAAGTGTTAGAAATTTTTGAGAAAGACTATTTTTTTTCCCCTTAGAAATCACTTTTAACTGTGGAAGTGACAATAGAGAGCTGGGCAGTCTAGAAGGAACAGATAAGTACTTTCATGGCATGTTCATGAAATATTCAGAACATTTAGACCAGAGAATATATTAAAAGTGCCACTATTTGTCTTGTTCTTGGTGAACTTCAAATACAAACAAAAAATTAAAAGTAAAGAACATTACATTTATATACTTCATTTTGTTGAACATTCAAAAGTTTTTAATCTGTTTCCTAAAATCAGCTTTAGAAATCAGAAAAAATTTCATTTTAAGCAAATAACTTTATTCAGGACGTGAGGGAAGAAGTGTGATAGAAAGAGGGAAGAGAAGTAAAAGAGGGGGAAAGGAAGAGACTAGAGAGGGAAGGAGAGAAGAGAGAAACAGAGCTGGAGCGATAGCATAGCAGGTAGGGAGTTTGCCTTGCACATGGCCAACCTGGGCTTGATTCCCAGCATCCCATATGGTCCCCTGAGAACCACCAGGAGTGATTCCTGAGTGCAGAGCCAGGAGTAACCCCTGAACATTGCCATGTATGACTCAAAAAGCCAAGAAAAATAAGAAGAGAGAAACACACACACACACACACACACACACACACACACACACACACACACACAATAAGTCCTATAAAGTAAACAGAAATTAACACCCATGAGCCAAGCCAAAAGGCCAGTGATTCCAAGGCGGAGTATAAGCTACCCTTGGGTGGTAAAGGGAGAAAGTTGCACACCCAGAGTACAGAGTACAAAAGTGTGGGATCTCCCAGACAGAGTATCCAAATCTGGACTTAATGCCATTTCTTTAACCAAATAGCTTACAAGAATAGGAAAAAATTGTGACAGCAGTGTTTTCACCATAAAGGCATGATCACTAACTTCCAAGTGGGGTTCTAAAGTGAATCACAACTGTACTCCTTTACAGCAAAGGGCCTAGAAAAGGAGCAGGCTATGCTGTCTCACTGACTTCCTTCCCAGCTCTCCTGAGGCCGCTCAGACCAGGCTTTCATTCTCATTACACCTCTGAAGGTCTAGTCTTTCCCAACCATTAGTGCCAGCAGTGTTTAAGAGGCTAGATTCCTCCTTCCTAAGTTCCTTTCTCCGGTTTCATCTCCGTATACTTTTCCTCTGCTTCCTGTGTTTCAGTCATCCTGGGCCCCTTTCAGTGTGAAGATGGTTTTTGCGATCTTCAAGAAGATGCTTACGTTAGAGCTTTCTTCTCTGCCTGGCTCCCTTGTGACATTCAGATTTCAATTTCAATTCTTTCTCTTCACATCACTCAATCTCAAGTGATAATGCAGCCGCTGCCATTGTATCCTAACACTCTAACCAAAACAACATGTTGTTGAAGAATCGCTATTTATTAAACCACTATTTACTAACTTCATTGCTGTCTTTCCTTCTACTGTGTTGGATCATAACAATGGATGTCCTGTCTTCTTACTGCCCTAGAGGAAGTCTACTGAATAAATATTGGTTAAAAACAATTAGTCAAGAGTTAGTGCAAGTAATAGTCGTCATGCTGAGTACAAAGGCAGTCCCAAGTTTAATTTTAAAAGTAAGAACTTTTGGGCACTACTAGGATTGGCCGAAGAACTCCTGTACCTCAGGAGGTGGCTCTTATTTTAAAAAATTATTTGTGTAGCTTTATGATGTGCTACATTTCAGTAATAAAGATCTCTTCTCTCTGTGTATTTGTTTATACATTTTTGTGAAACAACACAATAAGAATAGAACAACATAAGAATTACCTTTTTGGAAGTAAAGAAAGTAATTCTCTGAGATTGAGGGGGGAAAAAAAACCATGAATTTATTCGGATACAAATTAAAATGTACCATTATTTCACCTGGCAGAAATAGGTGCCTGATGGCTTTATATCATGAAGCCATGAAAACAACAGTTTGCCTGCATGGAACTCAAGAGCGAGACCATTTCAGGATGGTAAGAAAGGCCATGAAAGGAGAAGCAGGCGCTATATGAAGATTTCACCCAGCACCGAGCAGTACAGAATCCAGAAATGCTCTCTGAAAGAACGAACCAGTTAAGTTGAAATCTGAGTTGTAATGTGCACGTGGTTGAGAGCAGTGAGGTCACGAGTTGCCCCTTACGAGCGTCTCTCCGCAGAGCCATAACACCAGATGGACAGAACCCAATCTCGCAATTATCTGGCTCTTTGAAAAAATCCAAAACTGCGAGCCCGCTTTTGTGGCCACGCAAGATTATATGATTCTCATAACCAGTTATAGCAAACAAAGTATTTCACAATGTCTTTTCAGCAATTCTGATTGTTGGAGGGGGGAAATTCTAAACAATAATGGTGCATCTTTTGTCGAAACAATGAATGTAATCAATGTAGAGAAGAGTTAAGTGAAAATCATCTGCCTCACAGGCATTGGGAGGGGTGGGAGGGGGGTATATTGGGGTTCTTGGTGGTGAAAAATGAGTACTGGTGAAGGGAGAGGTGTTTGATCATTGTATGACCGAGACTTAGACCTGAAAGCTTAGTATCTTTTCCCACAGTGATTCTATAAATAAATATAAGAAGAAAAAATAAATAAATAAAACTATGGAAAAAAAAAGTAAGGTGCAGTTCATGTCCAATTCAATCAGCTAATCAGTGGCTGAATAAATAGCAGTACTCCTAGATTTAAAAAAAAAAAGTTGAATCAAGTGTTATAAGTAACTCAAGAAGATGAAATAAAAGCACCTTATTCTGATAAAAATAAAAATAATATGTATGTGAGGATAAAATATTTTAAGAATAAATAAACTATAAGGTCTAATTCAAATATTCAGTGAGAAGGTATACACAAACCACCTCCAACCACTCTTATAGGTACGAACTAAAGAATTAAGAGCCAAATTCTTCATCAAGAATTCATGAACTAGAAAAAAATTCAAAAGCTTCAGTACTTTTATGAAACTTCTGCACAGCTAAAATACCTCTAGACTGAGGGACCAGGAGTGGAACTACGGACATTGATGGAGGCAAGTAGACACAGATGAAGGGACAGGAGATGGAATATCAACTGCCTGGAAATCAATCATGAATAACCCTGTAATTTTATAATTCACAGAGATTCATTAAAAAATTCATATAAAAAGGATAGCAACCCCAAAAGTAAATTGTAAGGCCAAAGAGAAACAAGTCTTTCCAAATACAGTTAAGAATAGAAACTAAATCTTTGAAAGAATTTGCTATAGTCCAACGGAAAATTAAGCATCACAGTAAATTAGAACTGTAGTTTAAAAAGCAAATTTGTCGCCGCTCATTTTAATACTTAAAAGTAACATACTAATACTTACCTGATAACTATGAGCATGGCTATCAGGATGGAACAAATTGGATCTGCTATCATCAGACCGAAATTTTGCATCATGATGGCAGAGGCGATTACACCAATACTCCCAAGTGTATCTGCTAGAATGTGTAAAAATACACCTGGAAATAAAGTATAATTAAAATAAAATATCATCTGACAAGTTGAAAATACACATTTCTTATAACCACACTTTTGTGGTCTTAAGGACTAAACTATCAGTTTATAATTTTATTATTCCTATTAAGGGTCCTTAGTATTTTGGTGTAGCAAAAAAGAAGAACTAGATCAGTAAACTGATGTTAAATTGTTTGAACACATTCATTTTTGGGTTAAGAGTCCAGAGGTTAATTTGTTAGAAAGAAACTCCTTTGGGTTGACAAAATCAGGGGAAAACAACAACAAAATAAGCCAACAAAGAGAGAGAGAGAGAGAGAGAGAGAGAGAGAGAGAGAGAGAGAGAGAGGCAGAGACAGAAAAAGAGAGAGAGAAATACAGAGACAGAGAGACAGAGAGAGAGGCAGAAATAGAGATAGAGAGAGACAGAAAGGCAGAGAGAGACAGACAGCGAGTGAGAGAAAGAAGAGGGAAAGAAGAAAAGTGCCTGCTCTAGGAATAGTGGCAGGAAGGATATGGGGGATATTGGTGATGGGAAATGTACACTGGTGCAGGGATAGGTATTGGAACATCGCATGACTGAAACTCAATCATGAAAGCTTTGCAACGTATCCCATGGTGATTCAGTAAAAAAAAAAAAAAGTACTTTGATTTAAAAAAAATAATAACAAAACCCAGAAAAACCCAACAGTTAACTACAAATATATATGCAAACAGAGCCCTCTGCTGGTGATTAAAATTACTACCATTTAGTCTGAATTTCATATGAACTATTTTTTTTTTTTCATATGAACTATCTTGATCTTATCATTAGGTCTTATCTTAACTGAGCTTATCATTATCTAGAATTATATAATAAACTAAACTTGAAATAGGGGATCTGAGATGCCAGGGATCGAATCTGGGTCAGCCACCAGAGGTAAATGCCCTCCTCTCTGTGCAAAAGTGAGGATTTGAATATTTTCAAAGGAATAGAAACATTTTTTGAAACTGTAACTATTAAGCTGGTAGAATACTGATATTAGAACTGCCCAAGAACCTTAATATAACACCAATATTTCAGGCTACGGAGATGAACAGCGATGGGGCACAGCCTTGCGTATACCTGAGCCGGTCAGATCACTGGCACCCCATGGCCTCCTGAGCATCACTGGGTCTGGCTCTAAGGCTACCCTAGATGTTAAGCCCTATTGAGTACCTCTTGGGTACTCCCAAAATATAATTTATTTATTTTATTTTATTTTTGCTTTTTGGGTCGCACCCAGCGATGCACAGGGGATACTCCTGGGTCTGCACTCAGGAATTACTCCTGGTGGTGCTCAGGGGACCATATGGGATGCTGAGAATTGAACCTGGGTTGGCTGCATGCAAGGCAAACGCCCTACCCGCTGTGCAATTGCTTCAGGCCCCAAAATATAAAAATTTTAACAGAATAAAGTATCTTGTCTTAATTTTTTTTGGTTTTCTTCTGTTTTCTTTTTGTGCTGTCAAAGTCCGGCAGGTCCCACACACAGAATACACTTTGCCACTGAGCCACATTTGTGGCCTCTAAAATATGACATTTAACAACTGACATCTGAATGAAAAACAATTGAAAATATAAACAATTTTATTATGTATGTAATTATATATTTTTTTGTTTTAATCTATCTTTGTTTGTTTTAACCACACCTGGCAGAGCTTAGGGGCTATCCTTCATGGTGCTCCAGTGACAATGCAGTCCTGTGCGCCAGCCTTTAGAACTATTTTCCTAGTCACACACACACACACACACACACTTGTTTTTCCGGTCACACCCAACAATGCTAAGGGGTTACTCTTGGCTCTGCACTCTGGAATCACCCCTGATGGTGCTAGAAAAAACATGGGATGCCAGGGATTGAACTGGGATTAGGAGCATATAAGGCAAGCACCTTATCTGCTGTACTATCTCTCCCGCCCCAATTTTAAAAATATTTAAAGCAAATAACTCAACATTTAGATATTTAGATATTTAATAATATTTACTGTAGAGCAAAATACTGTTTCACAAATTTTAACCACCTTGTAATAAAAATTACACTTTATCTGAAAAGAAATAGACCATGTATAAAATGCATGTGTCTACTTTAGAAATGCTTGTTTCTTTTTCTTATTCACTTAACAATCAAGGGGTATCATAATTATTTTAGGTATGAAATAAAGTTATCTATAATTGAAAATACTTTAACAATTTAAAAATAGAGTAAAATGGGTCTTACTGAACTTCTGAAAAAAGATTCTTTAGCTTACCTGCTCTAGTGGTATGTTATGTAAATTATTATATCAAATATAATCATCTCAGTACCTGATAAAAATTTTCATTTGTACAGAATATGGAATACTAATTTTTCAAAAGGTTAATGGCTCTTTTCCCTATATAACAGTGCATCAGAAGTCTACTTAATAAAAATAAATCCATTTCTTCAGGTTATTTCAAATAGCAAAGTATTAAATAGATGAATAAATACTTGACCACTTTAAGTTTAAAAATTAAATAACCTAAGTACCATCCACTGTAATCCTGCCAGGCTAGAGTGCTGGAGGGCCTGCCCAGGATTGGCTGAATATCACAAGGGGTGGCCCTGGTACCCCTAAGCATTGCTCGAGAGCTTCCCCCCTTCAAAAAGAGGAAATAAAATAGAATAAAATCAGAAAAGTACATATCAAAGTCAACGGAAAGTCCTTAAGTTTCAAAAACTCTTAAGCAATACATAGTTTTAAATCTTTATGTTCCTTAATCAGCACTTGGGTAAGATTAGAAATGAAAATAGTTCTGAATGCTGAAAGGAAGAATGTGCTGTGCTCTTGATTTTTCTTTAGTTAGAAAGTCTTTGGCTACTGCTGACCTGAAAACTAGCTTTATTAGCAACTGTAATTAACCATCTATGCCCTTCTTGCTGTCAGCAACATTTTCACAAAGAAATCTCAAAAGGGGCCAGAGTGAGAATACAGTAGGGAAAGTGCTCGCCTCGTATGCAGTCAAGCAGGGTTCGGTCCCTGGCATCCTATATGGTCCCTCAAGCCTGCCAAGAAAAATTCCTGAGTGCAGAGTCAGGTGTAACCCCTGAGCATTGCTGGGTGTGGCCCCCAAACCCCAAAACAAGCAATCTAAATTAATTTTAACTTAAAGTTGAATGCTGTAAAAACGGTTGGTAGAAAAACTGCTCAAGAACCTAGAAAGCAAGAGCTGGAAGGTAAAAGGGCAGTTGTCCATGTCCTTTGGCGGTCAACTGGGCTGCCTCACTGACCACTAACAACCTGTATCAATCAACTAATATAAAGTGTATTGCATATGATGCATACCTTATAATCACACCATACCTACTCAGAAAATAAACTAATTTTCACTACAGCTTATATTAAAAAATAACAATTAGGCAAATCCAATGCCTCTTTCTTCAAATTTTGATGACTTTCAAAACTAAAAATAAATTCTTACTGTCAAAGCTAATTCACAGAATTGAATAGAGACTCCTTATGTATGCATGCTTATAACTATTTCAGCAAATGGCATTCTAAAACAATCCTATATATTTACAAATGGAAAATCAGTGACTGGAAGACACATTTAACCAACCTGAAATAAAATCCTATGGAAGAATTCTCACACTGAAAGGAGAAAAAGCTTTTCTCCTTTGAAAGGTACCACCTGGGGTTCCATCCCTGGTACCCCATACAGTACCCAAGAGCTCTGCAAAGAGTGATCCCTGGGCACAAAGCCAGGAATAAGCCCAGAACTCTGCCAGGTGTGACCCCAAAGCAAAACAAAATGAACAAAAAACAATAACAAAAACAATACTCTGAAAGGTACACTTTCACATGATATATACACTAGTGTTTAGGTGTCATTTGAAGTCTATGGTTATAACCAAGAAATCACTTTGAATTACATTTTTAAATTACACTACTTCATTTCTTAGAAGCACGTTTAGGTTCACAGTGAAACTGATGGAATATACAGAGATTTACCACATTTCTCTGGTCTCTACTTAGGTATACACTCACCAATTGTGAAAACTATATATTAACACAGTACACTTGTTATGATTGATAAAATTGACACATTATCATTTACCACCCAAAGTCCACCGTTCACATTAAGGTTTGATCTGCTGTTCTATATTTTATGGGTTTGGATGCATTACATTTTGAGGCATAAATTTCCCACAAAGTAAGTTCTAATTGAGTATTATTCTTGAAAGATTACTCAATAACCCCATGAAAGCACATTATGATTATGGTATTACAATAACCATAAGCATGGGAATCAATCTTATTTCAATGGTATTGTTTTTTAATAGTTTATCTCCTTACAAAATTTGAGAAAAGAGCCAAGTGACAATTAAAACAATGTTTAGGGCTGGAGCAATAGCACAACAGTAGGGCGTTTGCCTTGCTCGCAGCCAGCCTGGCCAAGCCGGGTTCAATTCATCCGCCCCTCTCGGAGAGCCCAGCAAACTACAGAGGGTATATTCAATATGCCAAACACAGTAACAGCAAGTCTCAAAATGGAGACATTGCTAGGCCCGCTCGAGCAAATCGATGAACAACGGGAGGACAGTGACAGTGTTTTAATAGCATATAGTTTTAAAAATCACTAGGAAAGCTAACTTTTTTATCACAAATTCTATATTACATGTTGTTCTCAAAGAAAAACTTTAGATAGCTCAAAACTTTGAAATAAATTTTATAAAATTAAAAAAAAAAGTACAAATTTCTTAACTCACCTTGTAAAATCTGTCTGCTAGGTCCTGCTGTTTCTTTTAAGGAGGGGCCATCTGTAAAGAATTAGGTGATCATTGTATAATTGAAACCCAAGCACAAAAAACTGTAAGTCTACAACTGTGCCTCATGGTGTCTCACTAATAAAATTTTTTTAAAAAGCACTACTTTAGAAAATAAGAGGATACGAGGAAAAAAAAAATAAAATTACCAAAATAAAATAAAATAAAATATTTTAAAGCATGTCTTCAATTCCTGATTCAGTATTTGAAATTCCGAATACTAAATTAGTAAATGTATCATGCCAGAGAAGACTCAACAGGCTGAGAGCATGAAGGCTTGCAGAAGGCCAGTTTATTTCCATACAGGTATAGGCCCCAAGCCCAGAGCAGGGACTAGCCTCTGAGCACCACTAGTTGTGGCTCAAAAGCTAAAACCTGTATCAATCAACTAATTAATTTAAAATGTACTGCATATGATGTGTGCTTTATAATCACACCAGACATACAAAATTACTTCTAAAATATAATATAGTAAGTTAATGAAGAAAGACACAGACAATTTCAAAATGCATAAATGGCACAGAGTATATAAGAAATTATTATTTTTAAGTTATCTGGCAAAAAACAGAAAATTTAAAAACAGTGCAAGTCTTGCAATATTGTCACATACCTACCAGTCGAATCAACCCTGGTGATCAATGGGGTGACAGATGTCACAGCCAGATCCCCATTTTTAGGCTGGAGCGACAGCACAGCGGGTAGGGTATTTGCCTTGCAAATGGCTGACCCGGGATTGACTCCTCCATCCCTCTCGGAGAACCTGGCAAGCTACGAAGAGTAACCCGCCTGCACAGCAGAGCCTGGCAAGCTCCCCGTGGCGTATTCGATATGCCAGAAACAGTAACAACAAGTCTCACAATGGAGACGTTACTGGTGCCTGCTTGAGCAAATTGATGAACAACGGGAGAACAGTGCTACAGTGCTATTTTGTGAGCAAAAAATTTGGAAAAGCAAGCTTTTAAAGTAGAACTGTGCAAAAGACACAAAAACATATCAAATCTAGACTCTGAAAAATTAGGCAGGCTTAAATCTTAATCCCTAAAGATAATCCCTTTAATATTTTCAAATATAAAGCTTTAGGATTCATTTTTTAGGGGGGGTAGGGTAAGGAGTTGCGGCAATGGCCATATCCAGGGTGCTCAGAATTTACTCCTGTCTCTGTGCTCAGAATTTACTCCTGGCAGGGCTTGAGGGACAGTATGTGGTACTGGGCACACAAGAAAAAACAACTTATCCACTATACTATCTCTCCAGCCTTGAATCTTTAGGGTTCTATCTATATGGCAAGTACAGACTATATATATGTTTTTTTTTTCTTTTTGCGTCACACCCAGCCTATGCTCAGGGGTTACTCCTGCCTCTGCACTCAGGAATCACTCCTGGCGGTGCTTGGGGGACCATATGGGATGCTGGGAATCAAACCCGGGTCAGCCACATGCAAGACAAACTCCCTACCCGCTGTGCTATTGCTCTAGCCACAACAGACAATATTTTAACACTCTGGTACACTGGTATTTATCACCAGTGACTCACACTTGGATGTGGACACAACACGAATTGCACAAATTAACACACATTGCAGCATCGACATCAACGTGTTAAGCATATGTTACCTAAAGATTAATCAAATTGTATCACCTACGCAGCATCCATTAATTTGAACTCCAAAACTTCATGAGAAAGTTAGTTAAAATACATAACACGTTCATTATGACAAATAACAGGTCTAATGCTATATAAGTATTTTTAAAGGAACACAACAATAAATATCAGATGATACACATCAAAAATTACAATGAATATTTAAAAACCGCATTTTAACTTGTAAAACAAAAGTCTTACAATGGAGATGTTACTGGGCCCACTCTAGCAAATCGATGAACAACAGGAGGACAGTGCTACAGTGCTACAGAGGAATTGGTCCTCTTTCAATTCTCAAGAATGCGACTCTTCCTTTAATACAACGATCTTTTACAATCATAGTATTTTGTCAGGGTACTGAAAAAAGTCATATTCATTTTATATATAGTAAAAATGAACTGGTCCTGGGAACCATTAGTCTGATTTCTTAAGAAGGAAGCTATTCACAGTAACTTCTTTACAGATTATTTTGTAGGTAAAATAACCTCCACAGTTCCTGTTGATTTGGAAGGCCGTCAACTTAAAAGGCTTTTGGCTGCACTCACCATGGGAATGAAAGTGCCCATGTCCATGGCCATGAGCGTGATCGTGGCTATGGGTAGCACCATGTTTCAAATCATGACTATGGCAATGATCGCCATGGCCATGGCCATGATCCAGAGCACCATTAAAGAGGGAATGACTGTGTCCATGTCCTAAAAAAAGAAGAAAAAAATGATATACATAAAAATATTCAGATTTTTCAAAAGAAGATTTTTAAAAAGTATACAGAAACAAACATAAATTTATTTACTCATTCAAGGAAAGTTATGTTTTAGGCATGAATAATAAAGCAATAGACAATACAAAAAATATTCTGGTCAACAATGCAAACTATATGTACTAATAAATATAAAATATGATACATACATATAATTACACTGAATTAGAAGCAGGGACGCTACTACATTTGATATAAGGCTCAGAAAAATTAAAGTAGGATCTTCAGAAAAAAAAAAAAACTAATGCAGTGTTCACTTTCAATAACGACCAAAAAACTATTAAAGTATGAAAAAAAATCAGTCTTACAAAGCAAAGAAAAAAGATTGGATGCTGTTTTGTTTTTATTTGGGGCCATACCCAGCAGTGTTCAATGCTTACGATGGCTCTGCACTCAGATCACTCCTGGAATGGTTAAGGACCATAAGGGTTGCTGGGGATCGGCACATACACACACACACACACACACACACACACACACACACACACACACACACACCAGGTTGGCAGCATGCAAGGTAACTGGTCCAACCCACTGTACTACAGCTCCTATCACATGAGTGCTGCAAATTTTTGATTATCACATAATATTTTTTTAAAATCTAAAATATCAAATCAAGTTCAGCACTGTATTATATAAAAATATATGAATGTTGGGAATATCAATTCCTGGAATGATGAGGAGGAGATGCTAGCAAACTAGATCTTTATCCCTCTAACATACCAAAAATATGGGAAACACAACTAAAACTCAACCATTTCAGAATTCTATCAATTAATTAGAGCCACAAAGTAAACTATCTACCCAGAGAAACTGCCAAACTTTAGTAAAAGATCAAGTGTCTCTTGTCACCTGGGACTACTCCCATTCTAGCTCTCGTCCCAGCTAGGCAGAAAACAAGTGCCAAAAGCCAAAAGCATCACTGGCAACAGCATATCTAGTTTATTTTGAAGCACTATTAATGCACCATCTCCTTACCACTGTCAATACTTTATCCAAATTTACAATTCACTGAAAAAAATCTATTTTCAAAGTGGTGACTATTAGATCTCAGCTCCATGAATGCAATGGAAACACTGCAGAAAAATAGTAAGTTCAAAAATGTCATAAAAAGAAAACAACCAAATTGGCAACAAAAGAAGAGAGGGAGAAATCATCTGACACCAAAGCCGTATCACAAAATTTCAGTTTTCAAAGGAAATAATTATAAAGCATGTAGAGTAAGAAGAAAGTTTCTCACATACACAAGGAGGTACATGGTGGGCAGCCAAGAGAAAATATTCCTGAAAGGGAGACAGACTTAGTAGATAAAAGACTTTGAATCAGCCACATATTTATATATATATTCAAAGAACTAAAGGAAACCATGCCTAAATAATGAAAGTACTAGAAAAAAAATTGACCCAGTAATGAATATCAAGAAAAGGCTACAAGTTATTTCAAAAGAACCAAATTTCAAAGTTTAACAAATAAGAATTGAAGTAAAATATGTACTAAAAGAGCTTAACAACAGACTTGAGCAAAAAATCAAGTCCGCTGACTTACAAAAATTATCCACTTTGAAAAATAGGAGAAAAAGAAAAAAAATGATCAGACATAGAAGTCTGTGAAAGACAGAGTATATGAAATTAAGCATAATAGAAGTCCCCAAAAGAGAAGCGGAAGAAAAAAAGAGACTGAAAAAGAATGTGAAAAATATGTCTAGAAAGCCTCCAAATCTAATGAAATATATTAACCTATCTATATATTCAAAAGGCTCAAAAAATTCCAAGTAAAATATACTCCAGACTGCCATATCTAAAAACATAAACTGCTGAAAAATAGAAATGACGAGGGACCAGAATGTGTCTAAGTGGTAGAGCACATACCTTGCATATATGAAGCCCTGGATTCAATCCCTGGCATCAGGAGACCATTCAGTATCATCAGGTGTGGTCGTAGTCACTAGTGACCTCATTTGGAATGGTACTGCACTCACCGATCAAGCATACTAGGAGTAGCCTTGCACCCCACCAAGTACTGCTAAATGTGGTTTCCCAAAATAAAAGCAACAACTAACAACAATGAACCTGTACAGTAAAATAAAAATGACTATACACAAAGGATTTTGAGTAACATTAAGAGCTAACTTTTCCATAAAACCATGGAGCCCAGGGGCCAGAGCGATAGCACAGCGGATAGGGCATTTGCCTTGCATGCGGCTGGCCCGGGTTCAATCCCTGGCATCCCATATGGTCCCCCAAGCACTGCCAGGAGTAATTCCTGAGTGCAAAGCCAGGAGTAATCCCTGAGCTGGGTGTGGCCCAAAAAACAAATAAATGAATAAATAAATAAAATTGGATTCTTAAAAAAAAAAAAAAAAACATGGAGGCCAAAACCAGTGGAATGACAAAATCAAAATATCAAAGTTCAAACAGTAATTCTAAACTCAACTAAACTCTCCTTCCAAGCTAGAGACAACATTTGCACAATCACAAACAAAATATCTCTGGAAACAAAGTGAAAGAACGCAAAATGATAATTCAAATTCACACAAATAAGGAGCATTTGTATAGGAAATTAGGAAAGAGGATAAATTTTTACTTGTTACTTATACTTTCTGTATGTCTCATAAGACAATGCTAGAAGCAGTAATTAAAAAAAAAAAAAACTGTGACGGACTCAGCATAAATAATGCAACTTGCTAACAGCCAAAAAAAAAAAAAGGAGGAAAGTGACAACAGGTATAACGTGATCACGATCAAGATCATCCTGTTGTTCGTCAATTGCCTCCAGCAGGCACCAGTAACGTCTCCTTCGTCCTAGCCCCGAGATTCTAAAAAGTGCCACATTTACGGCTCTTTCAGGGTTAGGAGAATGAGACCCATCATTGTTACTGGTATTTGGCATATTGGGTACGCCACGGGGAGTTTGCCAGACTCTGCCATGTGGGCAGGTTACATTCGGTAGCCTGCCAGGTTGTCCAAAGCAAGAACAAGATAATAACATGTCCGGGAGCTGGGTTTTATAGTCTCTGGGTCTTGGGTCTTGGGTCTTGGCTATTGATGGGATTATTTGGCGCCGCGGCTGGGGGAGGGGGGGCCAGTTGGTGGGTGTGACCCCCGCCTACTGGAAGACAGAGGATCTGGGTGGAGGATGCTCAGCCCCAATAGGTATAATGCATCTGAGATTTTGTGCATTTGTTATTATAAATACTAAATACAGTGAACAATATAAGGATTTTCTTAGGGGTGAGAGTTTGGGCCATCCCTGGATATGACAGGGCATTTATTTCCTCTTCTGTACTCAGAGGTTGCTCTCAGCAGTATACAGAGAATCAAACCATGATAGGGAATGGATATGGAGCAGGCCACAAGCAAAGCAAACTCCTTAACTCTGTGTACCATCTCTTCAGCCCCACAATAAGAATTCAAAATGTACACTAAAATGTATCTAAATTTAAAAATGAGAATAGAAGAATAACAAAAAAGAATTGCACAGAGTAAATAATAAAATAGCACCGTAGCACTGTCATCCCATTGTTCATCAATTTGCTCGAACAGGCACCAGTAATGTCTCCATTGTGAGACTTGTTGTTACTGTTTTTGGCACACTGAATACGCCACCGGAAGCTTGCCAGGCTCGATAGCTTGCCGGGCTCTTCGAGAGGCACAGAGGAATCGAACTTGGGTTGTCCGTGTGTAAGGCAAACGCTGTACCAGCTGTGCTATCGCTCCAACCCAATAGTATTTTTTTATTTATTGCGGGGGGGGGAAGAATTGAGTTTTACCTGATAGTAGTCAGGGAATATTCCTGGACCTGTGCTCAGAAGTGACAACTGGCAACGCTCAGAGAACTATATGTGGTTCCAGGAATCTAATCAGAGTCAGTCTTAGGCAAGGAAAGCACTTTGCTCCCTACACTAAATCTCTATGAGATATACTTTAAATTCAGCAACATACATAGATTTAAGTAAAAGGATAAAAAAAAGTCAAACGTAAAAGCAGTTTTAAAATAAGAGAATTTCTCATCTTATTTATTTTCCCACAGAAGTGCTTTTACTATTTGAAGTGTTTCATTGTAACATAAATGTTAGCAGTATTTGTCCCATGTCCCTAAAAAATGGCATTGCAATTTTCGCTGGAACTTCATTGAATCTTTATAGTGCCTGGATAGGATGGTCATTTTAATGATGTCAATTCTTTTAACCCATGAACATGGAAAATATTTCCAATTCCTTGTAACTGCTACTATTTCTATTTGCAGATGAAACAATCCAATAAATAGAAAATACTAAAAAAAAATCCTATATAGGATAACCTACATAAAATAACAGTTTTAGCAACATGGCAAGACACAAGATTAATACACAATATAAATAGATTAAAAAAACACTGTCCTCCCGTTGTTCATCGATTTGCTCGAGCAGGCCCCGTAACGTCTCCATTTTGAGCCTTGTTGTTACTGTGTTTGGCATACTGAATATGAGATGGAGCGATAGCACAGCAGTAGGGCAATAGCACAGCAGTAGGGCATTTGCCTTGCACACAACCAGCCTGGCTGAGCCGGGTTCGATTCCTCCGACCCCCTCAGAGAGCCTGGCTAGCTACTGAAAGTACCTTGCCCACGCGACAAAGCCTGGCAAGCTACCCGTGATGTATTTAATATTCAAAATAGATTAAAAAGCAGTCTTATTCACGAGTAATCCAAAAATAAAATTAAGAAAATAGCCTCATGGGGCTGGAGCGATAGCACAGTGGGTAGGGTGTTTGTCTTGCACGCGGCCAACCCGGGTTCGAATCTCAGCATCCCATATGGTATCCCCTGAGCACTGCCAGGAGTAATTCCTGAGTGCATGAGCCAGGAGTAACCCCTGTGCACTGCTGGGTGTGACCCAAAAAGCCTCATTTACAATAGAAGTCACCCCCTCCTAAAAGCTTAGAAGTAAAGCTAACAAAGAATGAGATACATATAAAACATTACTAAAAAAAATTAAAATTAAATAAATACGAAGTTCCCCATAATTATAGATCAGAAAACCTAACACTTTAACATTTATATTTTACTTAAAGGTTTAGTAGGATTGTATTTGTTTGCAAACACAATATAAATTTTAAGTACAATATTTGTGATGTTAAGCATTACAACATTAAGTTCTAAACTGATCTATGGATTCCATACAATTACGATCTAAATTGCATCTAAATTCATATCCCACCAGACTAAGCTGCTCCTAAAACTGATACCGAGATGCAGGACAATATCTAGACTAGCCATAATAGCATTCAAAGAAAAGAATAAAGTCGGAATAATTCACATGTTCAATCTCAAAGCCTATATCAAAGGTACATCCATCAAGACAGCATCAAAACATCCTCTTTAACACACACCCTTTCTCTCCCCTCACATCTTTCTAAATAAGCTTCAATTAAATTCTTAAGAGAATTAAACAAAATAAAATTTAATATGGAGTGTTAATTCTCTCAGCCTGGAGTCATGCTTTCCTTCCGGGGGTCCTATGTTTGATCTCCAGCACACCCTAATCCACTTCCTGGCACCATGTTCTCTGCTGAGCACCATTAGTTGTAGCTCTGGAGGGCCCTAAGTACTAAAACAGCTAATGCCCAGGTCCTGAGCACTGCCAGGGTGGCCTTGATGCCCTGATATCACAGTCCAGTACCAGTGCCACACTGCTAGGCCCAAGCATTGAACCATTTGGCCAGACTGGCTAACTGAGCGTTGCTTGAGAGTGCCTCCCTTCCCATCCTATTCCCCAAAAGTAGTACTTGGGAAATCATTTACACTTAAAAAAAAAAAAGCCCAGTCATATTAACCTCATCAGTAAAATAATAAGTTACAATAAATTAAGTGAAGGGTCAAAAAGGATAAGAAACAGCAAATTAAAACCATAATGGTAACAGTTCCCCCCACTATTCAAAAGCAGAATATTCCTATTTGGTTGGTTTAGTAGATGGCATTTTTGTCAAACATTATTTTTTTAATTTCCATATTAGTAAATACACATTAACAGTTTCGGATTGAGAATATAGACAATGAAACTGGATCAACAGGAAATTTCTAGTTTCATATAGTGAGGCACACCTCTATTAAAATATAAACAAATACACTTATGTACACATGAATATATTTATGACTCAGGCAGAGGAAACTTCTTAAAGCAAAAACTTCTTAAAAGCATACCAGAAAAAAAATCTAATGCAAAAAAATAAGATTATCCCCAAATTAAAACTCCCATATATAAAAATTAAAGACAAGTTATATACTGGAAAAAGCTAACATAATACAAAGAATCAGTTAAGAAATACATTTAGGGGTTAGAGTATAGTACAGCAGGTAGGGCATTTGCCTTGCCTGTGGCCAACCCAGGTTTGATTCCCAGCATCCCATATGATCCCCCAAGCACTGCCAGGAATAATTCTGAATGCAAAGACAGGAGTAACCCCTGTGCATTGCTGGGTGTGACACAAAAAGAAATAAAAAAAGAAATACATTTAAAAACATTTATAAATTGATTAATAAAAAGACAGCAAAAAAAAAATACAGCTCTTCAAAAAATGAACAAACACCAAAAGAAGAAAAACTTGAATGATTTAACATACAGAAAAATTTTCAACGTCATTACTAATTGACATAGAAAATAAAATGAGACATCTTTTTCAAAGTATTAGCAAAATGTTTTCAGTCACTAATATTCAATAACCTATAGTAAGAAGAAAATTAGTACTGCATTTATTATTGGGGTAAATGTGAATTAACAGCCAGGATCCAGAGACTATACAACCAAGCTCCCATGAAGAGAACAAGGCCAAGTCTCCTGCCCCCATGCGTGGCTGTCCTCACTGGGGCCCCTTGGAGGAGGGCGGGTTGAGTTTCCCTCTCCGTCCTGAGCAGAGCCCTGGCAGCTGAAGACCTCAGGGACCCAGACAAAGCCATGCTGAGACCACTCTCCACACACTTGGACGAGCCTCACGCATGAAGGAACCGGCAGAGGAACCCAGGTGTGCAGGACCCAGGACTGAGATCTCCAAGCCTGCTCAGATCGGGACTGGGCCTCCTCCACCCAGATCCCCCACCTTCGAGTAGCTAGACAGTTACACTCACCAACTGCTGTATAACTCCATCAACAGCAGGATCCAGAGGCTACACAGCCAAGCTCCCGGAATTCGCGGCCGTGCGACCTCTTATTCTCTAATTCTTGTTCTCAGAGAACCTGGCAGGCTACTGAGAGTATCATGCCCGCATAAATGCCTGACTAGGAACACCTGTAAAAGGTGATTAGAGGCTGCCCCCAAAGCCTCCATCCCTCTCGGAGAGCCCGGCAAGCTACCGAGAGTATTCCACCCACACGGCAGAGCCTGGCAAGCTCCCCGTGGCGCACTTGATATGCCCAAAACAGTAACAATGATGGTCCTCATTCCCCTGACCCTGAAAGAGCCCTCAATATGTCATTGGGCTACACTAGCACGTGACAGGGACGAACGGAGACATTACTGGGCCCACTCAAGCAAATCGATGAACAACGGGAGGACAGTGTACAGTGAATAAGTTATTTGAAGGAAATTTGCTATTGTCTATGAAACTAAAAACTATATATCCTGTTTTCCAGGAATTCTACTCCAATTCTAGCCCATTGTAATTCAAATAACTTCCAAGATGATGGAAGTAACTCTAGGGGTGCTCTCCAGTATGGAAAATAGGTCCAATATTTGATCCTAAGCACTTGAAATGTCTCTAGTGTAACTAAGTAACTAAAGTTTAATTCCAATTTAGTCACATGTGACAGGTGGCTATAGCACAGGATAGTAGGACAGGCCAGCTTTAGAAAGATACTTTCATGTGCTGACAACAACATGCTTCACACAGAAACACGAAAAAGTGGAACAGATTGAGGTCTATGTATCAGACACTAAATAAATCAAGAGTATACAATGCTATGGAGTTTTATGTGTCTGTTTGCAAGAGAAGGTATACAAAAGAAAGGTTCTGAGAGACACTGTGTAGTCTATTTCATGTCCATGTAACACTGTAATTTTTAGTAATTAGATTTGTTTTTGTTGCTTTGATACTGCATATTTTATATGAATGAATACTACACAGATGAATCACAAAGGTCCGGAAGGAGCCACGTGACAGCCTGAAAGTGTGTCTGATTCTCTGAAGGCACTCAGAGGGAATGACACGGAGAAGAAGGTGGACGAGGGACATTAATAAGAGTCTACTGACAGTTTTGCTATTAAAACTCGAATTTAACTTTTAAAATGATCAGTTTCAAAAGTGAGTAATCATGACAGAAACCAAAAAATGAAAAAAATCAAAGGGTTCTAACCATCATACCAGAGCTATGAGAATGTCCATGACCTCCATGCTGGAAAACAAATATTCCTATGAGGTTTACCACAAACCCAAGAATTGAAACAAGAAGCAATCTTTCATGGTGTACGTCTGGAGGAGCTAATGCTCTCTAGAAAACACATAACACAAATAGCAATGAATAATTTCTGGTTAAGACAAAAGCAATTTGAATTTTGGTTTTTGTCATTTTCGCAATTATTTCAAAAGTATCTTCCAACATACTTAAGATAAATAAATAGTGCTCATATACTACAGAAAAGGTCACCCCTAATATTCAAAGTAAGTATTTAAAAGCATATGTCTTCTAAAATAAAAACCATCCTTCTCTGGTATCTTAAAATAATGCCATTCATTTTAAGTACAAGATTTAACTATTCTAATTTTAAAAATATATACCAAATACTAGACATCTATTGGCAAACTTGGTTTCTATTTAAAGAATTCTTCCCAAGGGACTGCACTACCCAGATTGCACTTCTATTTTTCAGTGTCAATACTTTTCTAACTTAAAAAAAATCATTATTTGTTTTCTATTCCAAGTAGTTAGTTTCACACATATTTCATTTGTTCAATCATTTTTGTATGCACTTCCTATATACAAATATACAAATATTTAATCCCAGACTGTCCTCTATAAATACTTAATGATACTATGACAAACACTTCCATTGTATTATTTTTAGTAAGCAAAAATTTTCATTAGACAAATATCAGTTACTGATTCTGGTCATTATCTACTATACCTCAACTCCTTCTGAGAAAATAAAAAAAGCAGTGAAGATCAGAAATAAGCCATTGATAAAGCCAGCCAGAACTTCTGCTCTAGCATACCTAAAGGAGAGCAAAGTAAACAACTGAATTATTAAGTTATTTCTTAATAAATCGTATACTTATATATGTTCAGATAATCTATGCCATTTTTCATGATTATAAAAGACCAATAAAACGCCAGTATTTACAAAATAGTATGCCTTATTTTATGTGTTACAGAAATGAAATGAATTTAATTATGAATTACATTTAATAGCAAAATGTCATAAAATACATAAATTTTCACAAGTCAATCAAAAGACCTTTTTAGAATAAGTAGGTTTAGAAAGAACTTTCACATAAATGTAAATCTCAAGCTGCCACTGGAGAAGGAAGATCAGGACTAGAAAAGTGGGTAAAGAAGGAAGAATCTAAAGATAAAATGTTAAGACAGGGGGCTTTAAAGAAGTATTTTATAATTTATTCTAAGCTATAAGTTACAACTCTTGTAAGTTACAACTCATAAGAATTCCTTATGCTCTCTGTTCTGTGCCTTTCAGATTTCAAATTTCTGAATAAGTACAGTTTTGATATGAAGGAAAATAAAATTATTTCTGAATTACTCCAGAAACAACTTGAGATTTATATTTCTACCACTGTTTCCCCTAAGATTAATAAATTTAGCAAAAACTTCTCAATGACCTATTTTTAGAATCAATTTTAGCTTCACATATTTCTAATTAAACTATTTAAAATACCTGTCTTTTTCTCCATGGACTTCTGAAGCTTTCTGTTTCCTACCTGTGTGAAGCATTGGGGAAAGATTTTATTTTTTTCCATAAGGTATATTTGACTAAGTTGAAGTCACTAGAAAGCACTTTAACTTGGCAATTTTACATGTTCAAACATCATTCAAAGGGTAATGATAGCAGTTAATCACTCTGGTCCTTTAAATCAATATACTAGGAGCATCAAAATATTGCTTGATCTAGTCTTCTATGTTAATTTCTAGATACAGTTTTTTAGCATAAGAGAGGAAACTCTTTAAAATGCGTTCTACCCAGTTTTGATGGCGTTAGCCTGTCAAGTTGTACCAAATACTTTTATACTAATAATATTGCTACTTCTATATTCAAACACATATATATGAAGGAAGTTAACATAATACTTGTCAAAAAATGTAGGGTTTTTGGGGGGATGGGGGGCAGCCAACTGTACTCAGAGCTTACTCCTGATTCTGCGTTTGGGAATTCTCCTGGTAGGGCACGGGGTACCGTATGTGGTTCCGGGAATTGAACTCAGGTCATTTGCATGCAAGGCCAGCACCCTACCTGCTGTACTATTGTTCCAGCCCTATTCTCAAGAAAATGTTCACTAAATTCACAGCAATCACAACCTGTTTTCCTTAACCCATTCATTAAGAACTTATCTAACGTTTCCGCAGGGTTATTGTTCTGAAAGATTAACAGGTTTTGTTTTTGTTTTGGGGTCACACCATGCTCAGGGGTAAATTCTGGCTCTGGCACTCTGGAAGTATTCCAAGCACTGCTCAGGAAACCATATGGTGTGCCAGGAATCAAACCTAGGTTGGCCTTACACAAGGCTCTACCCCCTGCACTATCACTAAGCCAAAAGCTCATTTTTTTTAAAACCAACATTTTACTCAAACAGCTAATGCCTGATTGAAAACTTTTGTCTTGAGTTCCACTAGAATTCAAGATCAAAGGCAGAAATTTTTTCAGTTTTCATTCTTGTATAATGTATAATGTATATAATGCGAGCTGAAGCGATAGCACACCGGTAGGGCATTTGCCTTACAAGCGGCCAACATGGCCTACCCGAGTTCGATTCCTCCGCCCCTCTCGGAGAGTCTGGCAAGCTACCAAGAGTATCTCGCCCGCACGGCAGAGCCTGGCAAGCTCCCCGTGACGTATTCGATATGCCAGGCACAGTAACAACAAAGTCTCCAATGGGGACTTTACTGGACCCGCTCGAGCAAATCGATGAACGGGAGGACCGTGACCGTATATAATGCATAATGTATAATAAAAGTATAATGGTATCTAGATTCTTCAGAGAGGGTAGAAAAAGAAACAAAAGTATATGTATGTAGGTATTTAACCAGGCACATATATATCTACCACATACCAAACATAAATACTTTTATGTTGGTCTTGCTAGTTAAAAAGTAGGAATGCAAAAGATACCTAAATGACTTCTAAATATGTACTTAAAAATTTTTGTCGTCTCTCAGATTCCTCCAATTTCTCAGTGGTGTTCAGGACTTACTCGTGACCGTGTGCTCAGGGATTCTGTGTGGAGTCAGAGCTCGAACCTCAGTTTTCTGCGTGCAAGACAACTGCCCAATCAGATGTACTGTCACTCCAGCTCCACCCTATTTCTTAGACTGCAGAGCCAATCTACTATTTTGATCATATTGAATGGGGAATTTTGGAGAGTCATACCTAGGCTTTATTTAATCATTTTGATGTTCAGCTCTCATGTTTTATTACTACTCATTTTATTATTAAAGCAATTATTACTAGTTTCAAATGTTGCATCAGCATTTATTCCCCACTCTCTCCTTTCTAGTTAAAAAAAAAGGCAGGATAAGAGAAGTAGAAAGAACATTACTCTTTTATATGAACTAGTTACAGTTGAATAGTAAAACTTCTATGATACTGAATGTGTTTTGTTCCTAAGAATCATCTTACAGTAGGAAGATAAATATTCCAAATAGGAAATGATAGCATAAGAAATAAAGAACTGCGAATTTTTATAGGCAGCCCAGAAAAATTATTGAACAAAATACTCTAGACCTTTCGGGCTATGGCCTCTTTCTGACCCTGTTTCCTTCCTGAAAACCTGCTGTCCTACCTGATGGCCCCTAGTCTGAAGCTAAGGCCCTTCATTTCCATGATTCCCTGTGGCTCCTTGGAATATCCTGGGGCCCCCACTGAGAAACAGTTCTCTAGAATTTTGATATGTAACGCATATATGAGGCGCTAATTCTTTTAAACACAAATTATAACTTTACATATTCTCTTTAATGCTTTAAAATCTAATAAAGACTATTTTGATTACAGTACATAAAAAATGTTTTATTCTAAGGGTTTTTTTTTTCTATTTTTTTGTTGAGGTCCACATCTGGTGGTGTTTGGGGACGACTTCTGGGTCTGTGCTCAGGGATCACTCCTGTGGGGCTTGGGGGACCCAGATGGGATGGCAGGGATTGAACTCAAATCAGTCATGTGCAAGGCATGAGCCTTAACTGCAGGACCAGCACCACAGCCACTCTTTTTATGTACCTTGGATTTACCAATATACAGAATTTCTGCTTTATACTATAAAAGAGTCTAATTAACGTTGCTTAACTCACTGTTTACAATTTTACAATAACCACATTATTTTGATTACACTCCAAATCAAGTTCTGCCACAGATTTTCTATCTCTCTATCTTTCTATATCAGAATATATAGTAACTATGATACTTTAACAGAATTTCTTCCTATCAGACCACAATTTCCTCTAAGAAAGAAGTGATATCTTACTCATCAATAGAAGTTGCATCTTACTGGGCACTCAATAAAAAAAGAAGAGTATGTACAGGAGAGTGTGAACCAGACAGTTCAATGGGCTGAAGCGAAAGTTTTACAAGCAGGAGGCCTCAGAACACTGCTAGGAGTGATTCTCAAGCCATAAGAAGTCCCCAAGCACCAGTAGAGAGTGAGTGAGTAAGCGAGGGAGGGCGAGAGGGAGGGATGGAGGGAGGGAGGAAGGAAGGGAGGCAGGGAGGAAGGAGCTTGCAGAAGACAAAAGCAAAGCTGGAGAGGAAGTGGAAAGTGAGCAATAGTAAGAAAGAAAGAAAAAAAGATGTGAGACAGTGAGTCTGAATGGATATATGTGAACAGAAGAGGGAGTTAAAGAGAGAAGCCACAGAGGAAAGAGAGGGTTCATGGAAGAAGAATCAGTGGGGAAAAAGGAGACACCAAGAAAGGGAAAGAAAAAGAATTACAGTTGAAAAGATTAAGAAAGGAGAGGGAAAGGAAGAAAACACAGGAGACCTAGAGGTAAAGGTCAAAGGGAGAGAGCAGGAGAAAAAGGGTCAAAGAAATGATGTGGGAATGAGAGCAAAGAGAGAAGAAAAAGTAGAAGGAAAGAGACAAAGATCATGACCACAGGACCAAGTAACAGAGATAAAATGGCAAGAGAGAAAGGCTGTTCAGGAGAGAAAAGATAGCGATGCACAGGAAAACAAGAGAGATGAACAAAAAATGGTAAGGACTTAAAAGGGAAAGGAAGAACGGTGAGGACAGGAAACAGGGAAGTTATGACCAAGAACGCAGGACAGAAGGGAATTGGGAAAGAGAGGCAGGAAAGGTATAAAAGAGGTCCTGAATAATACTTATACATAAATAAAATAACATTGCAATATATTCCGTGAGCTCAGAAAAAAGGCATGAGGGCAGAAAACATTAAATGAGAAATCTACTGCTTTCCCCAAGGTGGCAAAAAGCAAATTCTGCTTTAAAGGGAACTAAACTCATAAGTGAGACTCTTAAGTAAGACATCCAATGTAGTTCCCTTCAGCATAAAATATTGTTTAAACATCTGATTAACTGTCCAAATTCAGCAAGAGTATAAAAGAATACCTATACTATTATCTTCTTTAGCTCTGCTTTTATATAGGGTGGTGTCTACCCTATATAAAAGCAGAGCTAAAGAAGATAATACAGAGTGCTATTAGGAAATAATGTTTTAAAATAAATTAACAACAAAAATCACTTCCCCCAAAAAATAAATAAATAAGATCACATCATATTCTGAAACATTTGGTGTGGGGGGGGGGGAAGGTTAGGAGTTGAGAAATTCCCATATCAATTAACAACCTCAACCAAAATGTTTATAAAAAATTAAGAAGTCTTCTCTCATCATAGCAGCTGGGCAAGCAAAATAAACAAACAATCAAACAAACAAAAGAAACCCTTAAATACCAGAAACTATGGATTTCTGCTCGAGGTGTAGTTCAGTGATCAACACAGGCCTTGCAAGTAGGAAGCCCTGAGCTTGATCCCCAGTGACAGAAAAAAAAAAACCACACACACACATTGTAGATTATGATCATATACTATTCAAAGACAGGCAAAAGTAACCCATAAAGTTAGGAAAGTGAGTGCTCTTGAAAATATGAGTGTAAGAAACTAGGAATAAGAGTTTCAAGAATTCAAATTATACAGTTTGTTCAATTTTTGAAAATATACAATTTGTTTTTTACTATTGCTTTTATTTAATAAAAGGCTTGTTAAAAAGTCTTACCCATAAGAGAAAGCATCATTTTCTCTCCATTTTGAAATAACAGATGCTGCCAATCCAGCCAAAATGGCAGTGCTATCGAAAAACATGTGAAAAGAGTCGGAAATCAAGCCTAAGCTGCAAAAGAACAAACACATTGGCACATTACCATAACAACCAAAGAGTAACCATTTTCTAAAACTCTGCTCACAGAATCTTTCAAAACTTCAACAGTGAAATATGATACATAAGAAGGTATTAAGATAGCTCTAAATGTCTTTTTTTTTTAAGGTCACACCTGGCGATGCACAGGGGTTCCTCCTTGGCTCTGCACTCAGGAATTACTCCTGGCGGTGCTCAGGGACCATACAGGATGCTGGGAATCGAACCCGGGTCGGCCACGTGCAAGGCAAACGCCCTACCTGCTGTACTATCGCTCCAGCCCCGGAAGCCTTAAGTGTCTTAAGAAGGAAACCCGAATATCCCTTGCCCAGCTGCTATGATGAGAACTAGAAACATAGCTATCTGCTGCTGGGCAAGGGGCAAGGGGAATCTGCCCAACCTTTGGTCATGAGCAAAGATCAGCTGCCTCTGAAAGGGAGATACTGAAAAATAAGATAGGAGTTACTTTGGGCAAGACTAAAACTGTCCTGGATCCACACTATTCCATTGATTCTGATCAAAGGTCTGCTGTTGTTAGAAGAACAGAACACTACCTCCTTCTCTTGACACAAATAAAACTCACTGACTCTCAGATGCAGAGCGGCTGCTTAACACTGAGCTTGCAAGAGGAAATCAAGTAAAGTACTCTCTCCTACTCAGCAAAAGCCTTGACCAAAATATAAGACATCAACAATCACTAAGAACTAAGCAAACACACAGAAATATTCTCCCTTGTGGCAGAATTGTGTAGAATACCAAATTGTGTAGTATACCAAATCCCACATTAATCACAAGTTAGTAGAAATCATGGGGAAAAAATTAAAGATGTGGCTTGGTGAAATTAACTATAACATAAAATCCACATCAACTCTATAGCTCCAAAACCTCCATATATATGTTCTAATGGAGAAAAAATAGAGGTCCATTTCTCAATGTATAATATGCATTCAAACTGATTGCTCCTGTGACCTGAAAATAAACGATTCCTATTTGGTATGATTTGATTTTTTTTTTTTTTTTGGTGGGGGAGAATGTCTGGGAATGCTTAAAAAAATCCATATAAATAAACATTAGTTTCCATTATACTTTTGTTTCTGTTTTGGGACCACACCTGGTAGTACTCAGGGCTTACTCCTGACTGTATACACAGGGATCACTAGTGGTAGGGTTCAAGGGACTATATGGGAAGCTGGGTATTGAACCTATGTAGGCTACATGCATGGCAAGCACCCTACTCACTATGCTATTACTCTGGCCCATCACTAAACTTCTTGAGCTTTTGTACTTTATAGGTCACTCCCACTGAAATAAAAAAGACAATACATAAGTGGGTGAAAATAATCTGCTAATCATATATCAGACAAGGGGTTGTATCCAGATATATGAAGAATTCTTAGATTCTTCAAAAAAGTTCTTCAAAAAAGGGCATAATATTTCAAACAAAGGATATGAATGAACATATTTCTCAAAATATATACAAAGGGCCAATAAAAGATAATCAACATTAACAACACCAGGAAAAAACAGATCAAAACTGTAAGAAACACCATCATACCCACAAACTGGCTATAATCAAAAAGACACCTTGTGGACATTTAACACCGGTCTCATCAGGACATGAAAAATTAGAACCCTCCCATAGTACTCCATAGATTATCTGATAATCACAATAAATAAAATCTGACACATGTAGAACACGACTCTTGAAAACATTACTCTAATTTAAAGAAACCACTCACACACTATATATAATTCCATTCAACGGAATGTCCGGTTAAGTGACAGAATATATACAGATGGAAAGATGAAGCTGCATACAACTGGGGTAGATAAAGAAAGGGAAGATGAACGAACTTGAGGGTGATGACTACAGAAACAAGGTTTCCTTGGGGATGGGGCAATAAGAAATATTTGCAGGAAGGATGGGAGGGAAACTGGGGACACTGGTGGTGGGAAATGTACACTGGTGAAGGGTCGGGTCTTGGAAAGTTATAAATAAATAAAATTTTAAAAAATAAATAATGCTCTGAAAGTATTGTTATGGTTGTAAAACTCTATATACTAAAAAGGATTCAGTTACATACAAAAAATGGGTGAATTCGCATGCTAACTGCATCTTAAAGCTTTAAAAATAAAAGATACTTGACTGCTTAAGCTATGGGTTAGAAGACTAGGCCAACAGGCCAAGTCTGGACCACAGTCCATTTCTGTAAATTAAGTTGTATTGAAACACAATTATGTTAAATTATATACTGTCTATGAGACCATTTCTGTGCTACAGCAGATCAGAGAAGCTGTGACAGATTAAATGGCCCTTAAAACCTAAATATTTACTATCTCCTATTTAATGAAAAGGCTTGCTAGCCTCTGGTATAAAGCAAAAACAAATACTGCGTTGTGGAATTTATAACAAGAAAATGAAATCTACAACAATAATAGTACAGAGGACAAGAGGGAAATAGAAGTGTACTATATTGTGCGTTGCTTATGCTTCACAGGAACTGAAATATTATTTGTGGGAAGTTAAAAATTCATATTATACATGCTCCAATAACCACTAAGACAAATAAATGCACATGGGGAAGCATGCAATTCTACCAGGATAGGATCCTGCACCAACACAAAGTTAGATGTTCTTTTACAATAAGCAGGAAAAGAGAAAACTCAGCATCATCCAACACTATCAATTTTGCATAGATTGAGGGGTAACAGTTTGGTGGGGGAGGAAATATCTCCAAAGCCCAGGTCCACAGGAACTAAGATTGGGGCTACTTGAAGGGAATGAACTCCCTTCTACCTCCACTGACAATCCTCAGACTGAGTAAGCGGCAGCAGCCTTCACCAGAGGAGGATGGAGGCAGACACAGGGTTTCACAAACATATAGAGCTTCTGTCATACATGCAATTAGAAAATACTGAAAACAAAAGGCCTCAGCAGCTAACGGCTGACTAGAACAGGCATCATACCCACTTCTAAGTCATAATAAATCTTATAGTCTTATACTTTAAAACCCCCAGCCTTAGATTTTTTTAAAAAAAATCAAGACACAAAAGACAGCAGGAAAAATAAAAAAGGTAAAAGGTAAAGGCCCTCCCGTTGATCGTCGATTTGCTCGAGCGGGCCCAGTAACGTCTCCATTGGAGACTTTGTTGTTACTGTGTCTGGCATATCGAATACTCTCGGTAGCTTGCCGGGCTCTCCGAGAGGGGCGGAGGAATCGAACTCGGGTCGGCCATGTTGGCCGCGTGTAAGGCGAACGCCCTACCAGGAAAAATAAGTCTTTACAAATACAGCTAGGCCAAAATACTGGTCTTGATATTAGAATCATAACTGTAATTAGTAAATTTTTTTCAAAGGGAAAAAATGGGCAAAATTCATGAATCAATAGGAAATTTTAGCAGAGACACTGACACTGACACTATCCTCCCGTTGTTTATCGATTTTCTCGAGCGGGCCCAGTAACGTCTCCACTGTGAGACTTTGTTGTTACTGTGTTTGGCATATCGAATACTCACGGGTAGCTTGCCAGGCTCTGCTGTGCGGGCGAGATACTCTGAGTAGCTTGCTGGGCTCTCTGAGAGGGGCGGATGAATTGAACTCGGGTCAGCCATGTTGGCTGTGTGCAAGGCAAACGCCCAAACGCCCTATCGCTCCAGCCCAGCAGAGAATAATAGAAAATGTTTTTAAAAGAACCAAATGTAAATGCTTAGAAACAAACAGAAAAATATAGTAATGGTTTCAATGATGAAGAATTCTTCCAAATGACTTATCAGGAGAGTGAATAGAGTTGAGGAAAGAAATCATACCTGCATTAAAAAATCCAAAAGCTATTGCACAGGTACCACTGGACAAATACAACTGGGCAGAAAGCCCGAACAGTATGCAGATGAAATAAAACAGGTCACATATTGATACATATTGTTTGGATACAGGAGCCATGAAACCCATTGAACTCCTTTTTTATATTTGTGCAGATTGACCATAAAAAAATACTTCAAGGTCCATTAGTACCTAAGTCAATGGTATGTTTATAGTATCGTTAAACTAAAATTCAAAATTGAAGATAGGCGATTCAAACCCAGGACTTCGCTTCCCTCCTCGCCCTCCATACGCGCCCCAGGCGTCCTCCAGGACCCTGGGCCACCCACCCACTATCCCTGAGCCTCTTCCTGTTCCTCCCAAACCCGTGCCTGGTTTTCTTCTCCTCCCAGGTTGTACCCCCACACACACACCAGGTACTCACAGGGGCGTGGCCTCTGCAGAAGTGGGCATGGCCGAATTTTTGCCCTGGGGAATTTCACGGGCTGCACATAAATTACTTATACCCAGCAACCTCGTGAAACATCTGTCTCCATACCACCACACCAACATCAAAAAACAACGCAAATCCCCACCATGAGGAGAGGACGATGAAAAGAGTCCAGAAGCCTTATTAGGTGTTACTCACTTAAGGGAGCTCTCTGGGAAAGAATTCAGATATGAAGTAATGAAGATGTTCAATGAACTCAATGAAACAGTAGGACAGATATCCAGTAAACTAAAGGAGGACATGAAAGAAACAATCGAGAAAATACGGAAAGAAATGAGAGCAGAAATTGGAAAGCAAAGTTGAAGATAGGCAAGCATCAAGATAGATCTTCACAAAATGAATGAAGAAAATATTAACTATCTAATTTACTAACAGGAGATCAGAAAATTCTAAGAGTCCTGACATTTGCTGAAGTTGTTAAAATGATAGGAACAGGGTCAGAAAGACAGTATCGAGGGCAGGTGCTTGCCGTGCACACGGCCGACCCAGGCTTGATCCTCAGCATCCCTATCATCTCCCAGTCCTCAGTAGAAACGATTCCTGAGTGCAGAGCCAGGAGAAGACTTGACCACCAGTGAGGCCCAAACTTAAAAAATAAAATAAAAACATAGGCACACAGAAAAAATACTTTTAAAAAAATGTCTCAGGGGCTAGAGACAGAGAATTCACTGGGGCATGCACAAGCTTCACTCTGAAGAGGCCCCAGCTCGCTTGAGCGCTGATGCCTGACAGCTGCCAGGCCTGGGCCAAACTCCATGCTCCCTCTAAAAAATTCTCACATTAATCCTTGTACACAGTTGGGGGCAATGGAAACTATTGCAATTTCCAGGGAAAGCAGTAAAGCAGTTCCTTAAAGTATTAAAATCTACAAGTATGTCTTCCATACGATCCAACAATTCAACTCCAAGGTATCTTCCTAAAGAATCTAAATCCAAGGGGTAGGTCAAGTGCATGCTTTACACTCCCACCAACAAAACACCAAGGTGAAAAGGTACCTGCGCTGCTGTGTTCACTGAAACACTAATTCAATAGCTGAAATATGAAAAACAGCCCAAATACCTAAGGACAAATGATTAGATAAAGAAGATCAGTACATATATTCAACAGAATACTACAAACAAGTCATTGGGGAAAAAATGAGATCCTGTCATTTGTGACAATGTGGAAATTTCTGGAGGGGATTGAGCTCAGCGTAAAAGTACAATAACTCTGGACATCAAAACCATAAATGTTGACAAAAATGTTGACAAAAGTGACAGCACAGTGGTAAGCCTTGGAGTGGCTGACCAGAGTTTCATCTAAGACAGTGCAGAGGCGGCAGGAGGAATCCCTGAGCAGTACTGGTGTGCCCCCCCACCCACCCCCTACCAAAACCAAATATAAATGTTATCTAACACTACTACAACCAGGTTACCTAAATTATAATAAAAGTAAAAGCTGGTGTTTTTTTTTTTTTAAGTAGAAAGAGGGGTCTGGGGAGATAGTACAGAGGGTAGGGCTTTTGCTTTCCACTGGGCTGACCCTGGTTGGATTCCCGTATCCCACATGGCCCCCCAGCTCTTCCAGGAGTGATTCCTAAGAACAGAACCAGAATTAAGACCTGAGCACCGTTGGGTGAGACACAAAACTCAAAACTATAAATAATAATAAGGAAAAAATACTGAAAAATTTTGTTCATATGTGTCATATAAAGAAGCAACTCCAAAGAACAATATAAACCCATAGCAAACCCTAGAAGCGAGGTTACCAGAGAAGTGAGATAGAAATAAGATTGAAGGGGTTGGAGCGATAGCACAGCAGATAGGGCATTTGCCTTGCACGCGGCTAACCCAGGTTCGATTCCCAGCATCCCATATGGTCCCTGAGCACCGCCAGGAGTAATTCCTAAGTGCAAAGCCAGGAGTAATCCCTGAGCATCGCCGGGTGTGACCCAAAAAGAAGGAAAAAAAAAAGAAGTAAGAGTGGAGGGAGCTCAGTGGACTGCGGTGGAGAGCAGTGGTGGTGCTTTGGTGGGAGGTATGGAAAAATAACACACATCTGAACACATTTGGGCATTCTAAAACACACAATGTGCAAACCAGTATTATCTCAGTAATTCAGAAAAATTTTCAACACAATGGAATGTTTATCTACATTGCTTCACCATAAGCTGCAAATACAGCAGCTTTAAGGAAGGAGATATTAATTTAAAAAAGCTAATGTACCAATTTTATAAAATTTAAATATAAAAATTATAATTCAATAAGAAAAAATGTGACTAATAGAGCAATTGTTTTATACGCAAGAAATTGCTTTCAGCAGTAGAATCAAATCAGTGACTATTACACCCAAAAACATTTCTTAAACAAGCATTTTCTTTGCTAGTACAAAGACATTTAGAGACCTTTAGAGTTTGATGAATCTCTTCGATGCCAAAGGGGGAAATGATTTCAACACCCTTAAAGTAAATTTCAGGGAAATTTAATTTTCTATCTGTGAAATAAATGCAGTATAAAAGAGCAAAAAAAAAATGCAGTGTAACACAAAGTACACTGAGAACACTAACAAAAAATCATGGTGCCATGCTATGGGGGAAGAAGGAACTTGGAAGATAAAAAAAGTTTCTCTCCTCTCTCTCCTCCCTCTCTCCCTCTCCATTTCCAAGTATCAAGGTACCTAAAGAAGACACAAAAGATGACTGTTCCAATAACGTTTACATTTTCGCATAAAGGTAAAAATTCTCTGTTTAGTTTATCTTACTACAGTTTATAACTACATTCTTCCTTTAAAATGAAGGCTCTGGAGCAGGAAAGATAGTTCAAATGGCTAAGCACATGCTTTGCAAGCAGCAGCTAGGGCTCATTCCCTGCACCATAGTCCTCACACAAAGACAGGCACTGTATGATATGGTCCAAAACCCAACAAAGCAAAAAAAAAACCAGAACTTTCAACAAGAACATCTGCATAGCTATACACAACCACTATGAAGCATTATCTGTGAAGAAAGATACGTTTACCATCTATAATACTATAAAAGAAAAGATTCCTGAGGGGCCAGAGTGATAGTACAGTGAATAGGGCATTTGCCTTGCATGCCATTAGCCTGGATTTGAGCCTGGGCATCCCATATGGTTCCCTGAGCACCACCATGAGTGATTTCTGAGAGCAGAGTCAAAAGTAAGTCATTAACATCACTGGGTGTCACCCAAACACACACACAAAGGAAGAAAGGGAGAAAGAGAGAGAGGGGAGAAGGAAGGAAGGAAGGAAGGAAGGAAGGAAGGAAGGAAGGAAGGAAGGAAGGGAGGGAGGGAGGGAGGGAGGGAGGGAGGGAGGGAGGGACGGAGGGAGGGGACGGGGATTCTTTATTTTTCATGTCTACCATGTCTTAAAACAATTTTACGGAATAAAAACAGACAAAGCAATGACTATCACAAACAAGTTTTGATAACAAATTCATTAAAATGAGTCTTCAGGAACAGACAGTCCATCATTACCAAGATATTGTTGCTCAGTCAAGAAAGAAAACTAAATATGTGATGCCTATCTATGACACAGCCTCAAGCAATTTCTAAATCTGTAACAGCTTCAACAGAGACACACTCTATTCCCAACCCAAGAAAAGAAATTAATGCTGGGAAATAAGTGACTGTGCATATGGAGGTGAATATAAGATGAATACAGACTAATTGATCTAGGTATGACAGATGCTACTTCAAAACTAGATTTCAAATCTGAAAGATGACATCATACAATGAGAGAAAGTAAGCCAGAAGAGAAGAGAGCCTCAAGTCAGAAGAACAAGACATCTAAGGGCAGAAAACAAAGATACTCATTTTCCTTATGGACTGATGCAGATTGACAAATGGCTTGGAAAACAATAGCTTTAATTTCCTCAACAAATCTCCCTATGTCAAAAGAATTACTATATGCCAAACTTTTTATGAAGTAAGTAGCCCATAATTCAAATATAAATTTTTTAAATAAGATATTTCATCATGTAATTCATGCAATGGAAAGCCTTAGTAAAATATAATGAATTACAAAATGTATAAAGTAACTGTAATATAATACACCTGGAAACCAAGACAGACTTGAAACAATCAGTACATATACCAAAATATGGCATAATTTCGAAGGAGAAAAATGTAAGATATACTATAAATATAATTGTAATAAATTATGTTTATTCCAACACACTATAGCCTAGTGTTCTTAATATGTGCCATGCATTGAAGGATGCTAATATTATGGGATTAAAAAATTATCCTATTTGGCATAAGTTTCATATGTCTGCTTTGCTAATATACATATATATGCCAAGGTTTCTATTTTTCAGTATACTTTTTTATCCAACTGGTAACTAAATCAACTACTTTCATAATATATTGAGTATTTTTTGATAAAATTGAACTGATTTTGAATGGAAAAATCTTATTTTTCATGCAAATGTGTATGGCATTGCGTGTGCTCAGAATCACTTAAGTGATTAAGTGTATGGCATAAAAACGGATGTTATCCAATGTGATTGTTAAATCTCAGTTACAATCCAGGACAGCAACTGTCGCTAAAAACTGACTTTAAAGTAGAGATTTCATATATTTAGTAGAATAGAAAGAATGAATGACATAGGTCCATAATCTTTACATTTCTATTTCAAGAGACCCCAAAAACACACTTAAGTTTTTGTTTTTATCAGCTTCTCAGGTGGATATGAGACTTAAAGAATAGTCACTACACCTAGAAATGTGATCTTATTGTTAAAACAATTTTACGAGAGGCCTTTCACCGTTCCAAAGCCACTGTCCGTTTAAGAGTGTCTTTTTCCCAGGGTTCCTCTGGTTCAGCCCCCCCCCCAAGACAATTGCAAACAACAATGTTGACCCCCACAAGTCGATGCAACCTTCAAGAAAAATATTACGAGGGGATTTCCAAAACCGAAGCCAGGATCACAGGAAAAATCATGCGGTTGCTCCAGCATGGAATGAATGAGAAGAAGGCCACGCTACACACATTTCTCTCGATGATGCCTCTTCCTTATTCCGCGACCCAGGAACATCTATCCCAAGACCCAGCAACAAAAGTAGAACATCTCAGAAATTCCTTCTCAGAACAGGAACCCAAATGCCACTCCCCCTTCCTACCTTCCAACCCCCCGCCTCCCCCTGCAAGGTCCACTCTCCCAACCAGAGCCACGAACCGGGTCCCTCCCAATTCCAGCCCACTGCCAGAAACTGGGCCAAACGAGTGATTGACGAGGCGCGCGAGGGGCGGACAGCCTCTTCCTGCACCTGTCAAATGCGGAGGGGACTCGTCTCGTCGCTGGGCTCAGACTCCGTGGGTGGGGCGGGGACCCAGAGCTGGAGCCCGGCTGCACAGGACGGACGGACCCGCGATCCAGCCGGACCGACCGGTGCGGCCCCGAAAATGCAATCCAGCAGCAGCAAACTGCTGCGGGAGAGGAGCGACGTGGCACTAGGCAAACAGTGCTCGGGCTCCCGCCGCCCTGCGCTTCCGCCCAGCCCCGGCCCCCACTGGGGCTTACCAGTTGCTCCAGATGCCGTAGAGGAGTTCCACGAAAGCGAAAGAGAGGTTCAGGCACAGGAAGAAGAACAGGTTCCTGGATGTCTTGTCCGACAGAATAGACCTAGAACGGGGCACGGGCGGGGGAGAGCCGGGCGAGTCAAGCCGGGTGGCAGCGCGCCGGGACCGGCGGCCACCCCCTTCCGAGCCCTCCCCACCCACCGCCACATTTCGGGACGGACGGGGGAGGCGCCCGCCACGCTCGCTGCCCGAGGTCGGGGCCTTCTCCCTTCCCCGCCCGCCCGCCCCCCACAGCCGAGCGCCCCGCACCTAAACCAGCCCGAGATCTTGCCGAACAGATTGAACTTGGGTGGTTTGTATTCATCGTCCTTGATGGACAGGGGCAGCATCTTCTCTGCCCGGCGAAGGGCCGGGTCTGACTCCCCTGGAGAAGCGGCTCGCGGAGGAGATGGGAGTGACAGAGGTGACGCCTCCGGCGGGAATCCCGGGCGATCTCCCCTACCGCGCGCAGCCTCGAGCCGCCGACAGACCCAGACACACACACGGGAACTCGCCGACTTCCGGCCCGGGCCGCTCTACGCGTCCAGTGACGGAAAGAGCAGCGGCGGGGCGGGGCCTCGGGGCGGGGCGGGGCCGGCGGGACCAGGGCGGGGCTATAGGGGCCGGGGCGGGGCTTGCGGCGCCGGGGGCGGGGCTTGCGGCGCCGGCTCAGGTGGGCTCCCGCCGCAGGAGGCTGCGGTGCGGCCCCAGGAGCTGTACAGTGGCACCCGGAGGATTCGGGCCACCGCGATTCAGAAAGGAAATGTCTCGGATGGGCGGGCTGAGAGCGGGCGGTCCTGCTCAAGCCTATCGCGCCCGCCTACCACCGTCGTCCCCGGATGCACTGGCTCCCAGCGCCGGCCCTTTCGCCATTTCCTCCCCATCATCCGCTTTGAATCTCTGCATTTGTGGGGGAAGCAGTGGTCCATCTAGAAGGCAGCGTGTGGTCGAGTCGCTTGGGTGCAGAAAAGGCAAAGGATGATTTTGCTAGAAGTGTGCAGGCACCCAATCCTAAGCCACGCCCCCGCCTCAACCCACCCCAAATCGCGTCCGATCCTTTTCGTACGCAGAAGGCAATCAATCAATGTCGTTCTAAGAAATCTGCCGCCCGATCGAGGGACCTCATCTGAGACGGTGGTTGCATGTGGGTTTGATTCACGCGTGGCTTCCCCAACTATCCTGATCCACCCGGAGCTCTAGGAGTCCTTCACTGTGCGTTGCAGGGAAGTGCGGGAGACTCGCACGCGTCCCGGGCGCCGGGAATGCAGGGCCCCGCGCTCCCATTGGCGATCTCGGAACGCTGCATCCGGAGCCCACGCGGTGGGGAGGGGGGACGGTGTCCAAGTCTGGGCAGATGTACGTTACGCGACTGATTAAAAGTTGTTCAATTGGGGAAAGAAATGGAAAAGAGGCTAGGCTTTGGGAGTTTGGGGGTTTTGAGCAGGAAACTACAAAACCGAGCTTCTTGGGAAGCACCTTTTAATGGAACAGGAAGTGGTAGCGTCACCGAAGGGAGGGGCGATCACCCGGGACGGTCCCCAGCTGCAGGCGCTCACTTTGCGGGCGGCATTTTTGCAGGTTACCGGTGTCCAGACCGAGATAGGCTGGATGCACTCTGCTGGGCTTAGGGGGGGCAAAAACACAACAGGGCGGGGGTGGGGGCACATGAGCCAGCGAGACGCCCCTTCCGTTTTATGGTGACCAAACTGCAAGCAAAGAAACCTTTGCAATCCTCTGCACTCGAGGTAAGGAAATAACAAATTACTCTCCTGTTATCAATTTTTTTTCCTCAGGGAGGCTATGCATGTTTTGTTCTTGGAACTTCGTGCGACTATGAGGTAGTAATTGGGTGGTTTTATTGCTAAAAAAAAAATTGTTATTCTACAATTTGTAAAATGCTCGTGGTAAACGGTTGTGTGAAAATTAAGTTATGGAAAGAGTATTTTTTTCTTTGCCTTTCTTAATGTATATTTCATTCTTATAATTTAAATAGAAATGTTTTCAATTAATAACTGGTATTTTTCAGGATACTTATATATTTACCATAGTCTGAATTTTACACTGCTGCACTGCTGGTGAAATTTTTGCTAAGTGTAAACTAGAATAAAGAGCAATATTTCCATGGCAATTTGATTTTTCCCCCAGTTGCTTTATTTCAATATGATGTAACAAGAGGGGGGGGGGATGGAGAAGATGGAACCAAATGTCAGCAGCTGATTTCCAGCATTCTCTTAACTCAAGGTCAGTTGCAGAGTAAGCCTATATTTTTTAATTCTACCTCTGAAAATAAGTTCTACGTTTTATACAATTGAGAAATATTTTAGCTGATTTATGGTGAAATCTCCATTGCTTTTTTTTTTTCAAAGAGTTTTGAAATAGAGAAATTGAAGTTTGACTATATTTGTTGCCTGGGATTCTCAAATTTTCAAATTCTCCCCGTAACTATATATATATATATTCTTTCAATGCTACTTAACATATTTTAGTCATAAATCTTATAATTACCAACTTTAATACTGATGACATAGTATCAGAAATACAAATTCACCCCTGCTTAAAACTGGAAAGTTCTATGTGTGGAAATTGTCTCAATGGAATGTCTCACTTTTGTGATCCTGATAGAATATCTATCCTATTTATGTTCATCCGTTTATGTCATCTGAAAGTTAGTTTCTTTGATTCATTCTACAGTCCTACAACGAATTTTGTGGGAAGGAAATGGGTCTGGTTACAAAGAAAAACAAACCAAAGTTCTTCCCCTTGAAGGATCTTATATCAGGAAGAAACTGATGGGAGCAGAGGACAGGTCAGTTTAGGATTTTGGAACTGTATACAAAGTATATATATGAGGACTAACCTTGCTACATTCAGGAGGAATCTCTCAAGAAGTCTTTCTGTATGCAGAAAGCTATTGTCAAAGCATCTTGAATAACTCATCTCATAGAAAACATAAGAGGATTCTTCAGCTCTGTTCAGGTCATTCCAGCTGCTATATCTTGAAAGGTTCCCCTCAGAATTCTTAATTCCTTCATGTCCTATAAGATTGAATGGATTTAATAATTATAAAATGTAGCTGTAGTTATAATTTTTTTCATAGATTTTTTACCCTGAACTTGTCTCCTCTTGGTTGTATATTGGGTTAACTATTCAGCCTCTAGCTGTGGGGAGGGCTTTGCAGTGGGGGTAGGAAGGAAGCCAGTTTCTCTGTCCTGTCATTGAGGACTGTATAAAATGAAAACAGAATTAAGGGGCAGAAGCTCATCTCTAGCCAGCGTTCTAGCTCTTTTTGTATTAGGTAAGTATTAGGAAGGGTACCAGTAAGTATTAGGAAGGGTACCATCTGTCATTCCTTGGTGATCAATACTGGAATTTGTCTACAGCCCTATTTCATATCTAAAAGTTTTTTTTCAAATGCTTCAAATTCACTATCCCATGATATTGGAATGATGAAGAAGTTGTAATGCTAGATGAAACTACAGATCTTTACAAATCTAGAAATTGAATACAAATTGAAGTACAGACTGATGGAGCTTTCAGCTTACATCTAGGTTTAGATGCACAAGCACACTAGAAGGTCAGGATGAAATAAGTTTATTCTGCTGCACGATAAAGAGAAGGAAGAAAACAAAAATAGAGTACCAACCTCACAGAAAGACATTCCCTACATACATCATTCCACAAATGTAATTCTTCGGTCACAGAAGAGCAAGTTTTATTTCTAAAAATAACTCAAAGCCTATGAACAATGGCATCAAAAGTAATTTTTAAAGATCTAGTTGACAGAAGTATCACATGAAATTCTCTTATTTTCCTTAATAGTGTCAAGAGAGCCTGTTCCTATCTGTTACTGAAGCCATAAGGAAATTTTTTTAATTTAAAACTTTGCCATAATGAGGTAAGTACCATTACCATTGTTGTTGTTTTTAAAATTGTGGTTAAAAATATGCATAAATAAATAGCTTACAGTCATTTTTAAGAGTATATTTAGTAGTGTTAAATTTATTCACATTGTTGGATATCCAGTCTAAAATTATCGTCTTGTAAAATGGAAACTCTGTTTATTAAAGACTTCCCCAGTTCTCCCATCTCCTGCCCCGGGGAATGTACCATTCTACGTTTCTATTAATTTGTGGTATTTAATAGATACCTTCGGCTGGAGCGATAGCACAGTAGGTAGGGCGTTAGAGCATTTGCCTTGCACATGTTCGACTGGGGTTCGATTCCTCCGCCCCAGTTTGATTCCTCTGCCCGTCTCGGAGAACCCAGCAAGCTACCGAGAGTATCCTGCCCACACAGCAGAGTCTAGCAAGTTCCCCGTGATATATTCGATATGCCACAAACAGTAACAACAAGTTTCACAATGGAGACATTACCAGTGCCTGCTCAAGCAAATCGATGAACAACGGGACAACAGTGCAACAGTGCTAATAGATACCTCATATGAGTGGAATTCAAAAGTATTTGTGTTTTTGTAAGCAGCTTATTTCACGGCATAATATCCTGAGGGTTTGTCCATATTGTTAGCATGAATTGGAATTTACATCTTTGTGAAAGGTAAATAATATTTCTTTGTGTATATGTGTACTTTATTCATCCCTCCATGTGTTGATGAATGTTTGGGTGGCCTCTACCTTTTGAGTATTGGGAATATTCTGTGAACATGGCTGAAACACCACTGTTTTATCTGGGAAACAATATTGCCCCCAAAGGTGGCTTTGTTTCCTTAGAAATAAAAGCTCTACCCAAGGGCTGAAAAAAATCACATACGGTTAAGGCACTTGCCTTGCATTCCACTAGCGGGGTCAGTCCTTGACAGCATATGGTTCCCTGAGTACCTGCAGGGGGCACTTCTGAGCACAGAGCCAAGAATAGCCCCTGACCCCCACCATCACATGTGCCTCTACCCCAAAGGAGAAGAAATTAAAAATAAATAATTAAATTTTCTTACTCAAGCAAAGTTTCTTTCTCAGATCCAATGACAAAATATTGTACCTCTTTTGTAGATCTTGTGCACTGAAGCACAAGTCTAAATTATGGAGTAAATTCAATACTGTAAAGTTCAAATGTTCCAGAATAAGTGGTAGTGCATAGAACATGACTAGAACATAACTGAAAATAGGTGCTTCAGAGGACATTGACAATACATACAGGTGACTCAAGTTTGTGTCAGGAGTGTTTTCTGACCACTCCTTTCGTGACTCAGGAAAAATCATTTCATAATCTTTTCAGCTCTCTCATCTACCAAATAGGGTGCATGTATTTTAATTCATTTCTTTCAGAATACTTGATATATTATCAATTTGAGATATTCTGTAACAGAAAAGGGAAGCAATCTAATAACTTGTTACTATTACAAGGGCTGGAACTGGCTGGGTATACATTAGCATCCCTGTTACCTGACATTGCTAGGTACCTCGTAAGCCTATAAACTGGTATGTTGACAGAAAGCTATCTATCTTTGACCTTCACTTAAATGGCAGTACTTAAATTTGCTATCAGTGATTTACATCTATCTAGATTCTCCATTTATATAGCACACATATACAACCTGTTAAATTACCAATAGAAAAGATCAATCTCTGTAACTTTAATAACCTACATATCACAGCTAATCTACATTATTGTCATTTAAAATTAGGTAAATTGGGATTGCTTCCATATCAAGTTTTATACCTACAACTTTAAATAATATTCATAAATATGAAAGCTGTTTCTCTTAGAGAAATGGTTTTGGTATGGGATTCTATGACTATAAGCAAGTAGTTTGTGTTAAAGGAAAAAGAATTCATAGAATATTCCAGTGATTTCTTACTGAAGAGTTTTGCCAGCTCTCCATTTTCTTGGGACTAAAACTCTTCAAATGAAAGGCTCTAGTATCAAGGAACAGTAAGAGTAACAATTGTAGGTGCACTTGGCTTCATTTTGACTCATTCCTGAAACTAATTTTGTGTGACACTCTGCTTTGTTAAAAATGGTTCTCTATTTATGGACTTTCTTCTTTGGACACATTAACTCTTTGGATCCTTATCAGTCATGGATATTTCTTTTAGGAATAAAGCCATTCCTACTCTGTCATCATAGCTACATAAGAGCCATATTTAATTGGCAGTCCCAGGGAAAAGAAATAAAGCTAAAGGGAATTTTTAGCTAGCGTAATACAGACTGTGTATTTTAAGTTTAGAAAGGACTGAACTGCCTCTCTCAGGAACAAATGGCAGGGTTATTTGAAAGGCTTCAGATTGATGTTAGAATGTTGAATGCCTGTAACAAATCATCATGTATAACTTTGTAACCCATGGTGTTTAAGTAAAGTGATAGGGCTGGGTTGGGGAGATAAATTTTAAAAAAGGCTTTACATAGGCCAGGATCATAGGTAGGTCATAAAACATGGGCCTCACATGTGTTTGATCCCTGGTACCATAGAGATTTTGCATATTATTCATATATTAGTTCCTTTTAAATAATAGTGATAAATCAAATCCAGTTAATTGAAAATATCTGTCTAAAGAAGGGTTAAGGAGATCTCTGAAGTCTTTTTAGAAACTTAGGAGAAAACAGCATAGCAGACTTTGCTATAAAGGGGTAGAGATACAAGTCCTTAATGTCGATAGCCCTTTTATATTTTATACTTGTCTATTTTTATGATTTATTGCCTTTGTTTTCAACATATTTAAGTTCATATGATTTAATTTTTAATAGTAGTGGTGTTTAATGTCTAGCTCACAAATTTCCTGAAAACAAAATCCAAAAAAAAAGATTTGCCTTGAACACAAGATTGTTCATTTTAAGGCAGGATTTGCATAGTGGAAAGTTTTCCTGAATTGATAGCTCTAGGAATTTGAAGCTATTATATTATGGGTATGACCAACTTAAAATTCTGTATTCTCTTCTGAGATATATGGGGGGGTGAGATTTTTTTTTAGAGGGTTCCATATTAGCCCTGTTTTTACACTCAAAGTTACTTGCAAATTTGTCTAGGCTTATTGCTAGAGGTGGTACGTCTTCCAGCACAGTTAAATGCTGTCTTTACTATACATTCTAACCAGATTTACTTGAATGGTTTATATTTCCTGACCACCAGCAGAAAGACTAGATCTTTAATGTAACAAGTACAGATATTCTTTCCTAGCAGCTTTCAGAGGAAAAATGACCCTGCATGGGAATATCCAGATGTGATATTGCAGTCAATGTATATTCATCAATATATTTAGCGATTCTTTCAGAACTATTATCTCAAAATGCAGTAAGGGCAGGATTAAGCCTTTTAAATGACAGGATTTAAATTGACTGCCAATAGTATTTAACGTTATCATTTTCTATAGAAAAGATGAATCCTATTTGTTTCTGTTTTCTTTGTTTTTTGTTTTTTTTTGGGGGGGACCACACCCAGTCGTACACAGGGCTCACTCCTGGCTCTGCAATCGGGAATGAATCCTGGTAGATTTGGGGTGGACTACATGGGGTGCCAGGGATTTAGGGAAACTGGGTTTACTGCATGAAAGGCAAGCCCTTACCCCTTATACTATCTCTCTGACCCACAGAAAATTCTTTTAACCAATGCACCTAACACAGTCAATCCACACTCTGTCATCTAAATGATCCATCCAGAATGCTGTTCAATTGTTATTAAACACAGAAACCATCAAATGAACCTGTGACCTTATATATGCCTTTTTATTATTATAAGTCCTTTCCTACTTTTTCTATTCCTAAATAATTTTTATTAGCAAGACAAAATAAGTTTCTTGTAAGTTTAAAAAGTAATGAGAACTAAGAACCTTACAAGAAAGAATGAGCCTCTCAGAGGAAAACTGAGAGGAAATCATTTAGCATGAGAGGATTACAGAGCCATAGAAGGTGGGAAAGTTGTCTGATTTTTTTTTTTATATAATGCAGGAGTACTGCTGTTTATTCAGCCATTGATTAAGTTGATTGAATTGGGCATAAACTCCACATTACCTTTTCTTTTTTTTATTCAAAATGTTAATTTTATTTTTTTATTTTATTATTATTTCCCCCCACCCCTTTTTTTGATTCACCGTGAGAAACAGTTACACAGCTTTCATGTTTGAGTTTTGGTCATACAATCATCAAACATCCATCCCTTCACCAGTGCACTTTTTCACCACCAAAATCCCCAGTATTCCCCCTCCCCCCACCCTCGTTCCAACCTTTCCTCTGCCTGTGTGGCAGACAGTTTCCCCCATACTCTCTCTCTACTTTGGTTACATCTGATATTTCAACACCAGTCTCACCATCACTCAAACCTGCTGAAAAGGCAATGCTGGACGATTTGTTTTATATTGTTTGTTATGGATAGAATATAATGCCCAGGAAATTCTGTGTCATTCTCTTCCAGGAGCTTTAGTTTATAGTTTCTGGGTCTTGGCCATTAATGAGATTACATGGCGCAGGGGGTGGGGGGCGGTTAGTGGATGTGACTGCCAAGCTACTGGAAAACTGAGGAACTGGGGGGAGGAAGCCCAGTCCCAATCGAGTGGGCTTGGAGATCTCAGTCACGGGTTCTCACATACTGGGTTTTTCTGCTGGTATGCTCTCCCCTGAGGTTCATCCCATCTTGAGTGAGGCTTGTCCCCTCTATGGAAAGGTTGTCCGAGCATGTGGACAGGGGCCTTGAACATGGTAGCGGTCGGGTTCTGGAGGTTTTCGGCTGCCGGAGTGCTTCTTGGCGTGGGAAGGGAGACTCAACCTGCTCACCTCAGAGAGGACAGCCTGGTGCAAGGTCAGGAGATTCTGCGTCTCTCTTTTCCGAGAGCTTTAGTTTATAGTCTCTGAGTCTTGGACATTGATGAGATTGCATGGTGCTAGAGGCGGTTTGTGGGTGTGACTATCAAGTTACTGGAAAACTGGGGACCTGGGTGGAGGAGGTCCAGT